TTAATCACAATTATTTTAAGACAAATATAATCTAAAATTAATCAATTAAATTTTCTCCAATATTTATTGTAAAATCAATTTGATGATAATAAAAATTATCATAATCAAATAAATATAAATTTTTTTTCATTATTATTTTATTATAATATATATCATCTTAATTAACTATCTTTCTCTTTTTTTACCAATTTGATAAAACAACCAAAGTTCTTTCAATAAAGCCATATTTTTTTTTCATATTTATGTATAAAATATAAATGAAAGAGCTGAATAAGGCTTGTGGTAAAAAAATTCCAACCATCTCAGCATTTCTCTCTCTATGAGCATATAATCACAAGTGAATAGTTCATAGTTTTTTTTAAATGCTCTAGCAAAAGGATATAAATCATATTTTCATAATAAAGTAAAACAGATGAAGAAACTGATCTCATAGGCTCTCCCTTCTATATAAACTCCACATCTCTTTTACCTAAGCTCATTCCTCTCCAAGCTACTTACTCATCATAAGCTAGCTAGCAAGCTAATAAGCATCATTTATCAATCTATGGCATCATTGAAGAAAACAGCCATGGCTGCCATCTTCCTCTCCTTCTTCGCCATGGCTAGTTCTTACAAGACTTACTCAGCTACCTGTCCATTTACTCCTCCGCCGCCACCATCGACTCCATCAACCCCACCGAGCCCGCCGGGTTGCGGCAATATTCCCCCGGCGGCTCGAAGAAGATGCCCACGCGATGCACTCAAGCTTGGCATATGTGCCAATGTGTTGGGCCTCATCAACCTCAGACTTGGCAATCCAGCTATAACGCCATGTTGCACTCTCATTCAGGGTCTTGCCAACTTGGAGGCAGCAATCTGTCTCTGCACCGCACTTAAGGCTAATATTCTTGGAATCAACCTTAATCTCCCTATCAATCTAAGCCTTCTCCTCAATTACTGTGGAAGGAACGTTCCCTCTGGGTTTCAGTGTGCTTAGTTTAATTACTTTAATTTTCTACGTACGTAAGTGTTGCATGTGCATGCATTCATGACTTCATAAGTGATAGTCTGCTCCCTTTGAAATGACAGCGGGGAATTCTCTCTTTCAGCAGAAAAAAAAAAAAGTTTGCTCTCTTATTGTCTAGCATTCATGTCAGTGTTCGTTGAATTCAAGCGTGATCAGAGATGTTTTTGATTGTTAAGGAGTTCGAAACCTAGCAATTAATTGTTGGGTGAATTTAGTATATATGTTGGTGTTTTTTTTTTTTCAGTGTGTTGGGAATATGAGATGAAATTTCTTTTGGATTATAGAGCTTCTATTCTAGTTTGATATGTTTGATATGGACGAAATTATATAAAAAATAATGTTTATTTTTACATAAAATTATGATCGTTCACACATAGTTGAGGTAGTTTGATTTACTCTGATTAAGATTTCGTTTGGGACGACTTTTTAATGCTTCTTAAAACAGCTTTTTAGTACACAAAATTTAATTTTTATACTAAAAAGTTGTTTTCAGAAGTAGAAAAAAAGTCATCCCAAATGAAGCCTAAGTTATTCAATGAAATTTTTCGAGCTCTCTCTATAATTACTCACCCTCTTTTACGAACTTACTCATAAAAACCGAATTTATTAAGATTATAGAAGTTCTAAATTTTAATTATAATGATGATTTCAATTTTATATAATATAGAGAAAAAAAAACTAGCAAGCTCAACATAGAATTATATGATTTTTGCAAGAAATAAAAAATTTAGGGAAATGATCCTCATATTTCCGTATATATTCGTGCATTTCTATAGGGATTAGCGGGCCCCATACACTTATAGTTAATGCAGCTCGATCACATTGATTGTTTCACGGGCAACTCTAACATAGAATATTATTAAATCATCTTTTTTTGTGAACTATATATGAACAGCATATTCCCCAAAAAAATATATGAACAGCATTCTTTTTTTTTAATGTATTTATTTTTATTGTTTTAAATATAATTAGAGATTAATTTATAATACAAAGCAAAGTATATTAAATTCTGAGGTATGAATCATGATTAAAATTTGAGATAATAATATTTTTATTTAAATTTAAATATATTAAAATTTTACTATAATAATAATAATAATAATTTTTTATCCCATTATATGAGATCAAATACATGAATATTTTTTCTTTATTGTGCATTGTTAAATTCGGGCGGTTTTTAAACTGCTAAGAAATATTTTTTTAACGAATGCTAACCACGACGATCGTGTAGAGGTTTTGAAATTATGCAAGTATTTTTTGTTGTGGTTAAAATTAACGTAATAAAGCTTAATTTAAGTGAAGCGATAATTATTATTTTTACGATATTTATAAAAATAATAAAAAGTTATATGTTGAAAATTTTAATTTTAAAATACTGTAGGAATTTGATTTAAAAATGGAACCAAAATAGGTCATATATCTTGTCAAGCTATGATTTGTCGTCCGACAAAAATAACTGTAGCATATGGAGATTGATGGGTTAAGTCAGCAGCATGAAGCCAACCAAATGGATGGCTCAGCAAATTTAAAATATTTTTGAATTTTAATTTTAATAAATTTATGATCTAAGCAGTACAATTTGATTGAAGAATATTTTTAGTACATTTAGGTCCACCAAGTTAAACTAATATAGACATCATATATACAAGATTCGAATCTAAAATCTCTTAATTGATAATTATAGCTCTCAAACAACTGAACAAAGTGAGCTGAGAGATCGAAGAAATTTAATTATACAAAGAATGCTTAGATCCAACTTTAAATGATCATAAATTAATCATTTAAGAGTTTAATTATAATTTTTTCATGAGAATTCCAGTGTCAAATATCTTTCAAATTTTATATGCTTATAGTTTAAATGATAGTTTTTCAATTAATTAGTTAAATACTTAAATCTAACAAGTTTAAGATCATTTTATTTTGAGTTTCTTAATGTATTGAGATGCTCAAAAAATATAAAATGATTAAACGAAGCATTTCTAGATGATCTATTGAGCATTTATGAATCATGAAGAAATGTCTATAATGTTTATTTGAAAAAAATTATAAGTGATATTTCTACTTATTCATTAAAGAGATTTCACTAACAAGAATCTAACATTCATAGCAAATTCCACAACTCTACCTATTATTGCTGAATGATGCCCATCAACCGACTTTGACATCCTTTCCTTAAACAAAATATATGCTAGTCATCGTCATTGCTTGACACCATTCATTGATATTCAATTACTATTTTCCCCATTCACCACCAATCCAATGTCATCACCATCTAACGCTCATAAACCATCAATGTCTTATGGTTTTCTTCTTTGTCACTTGATATTCTCTCTTATTAGCATAACTATCAAACAAATAGCCCAACATCACCTAACTTTTGGCATTTCTAATCAATCATTACATAATGTGTAATAACCGAGGATACAAGAGCAGGTCTACATGTGTTCACACAAGTCAGATCTTGTAAAATTTTTAAGTTTGTTTCTGTCTCTATTAATTTCTACGTATGTGAAATCATATTTCGATTTCATTTCAGACTAAATGTATTACACGTGTTTGTAGGTTGAACTCAGAATAAGGATTGATAATATATTTTTTATCATCGATTTTGCAATAAGAGCAATGAAAGAAGGAATTCCTTAGCAAGCTAGCATTGAAGAGAATTAGCAAGTAATTTGATTTTTTTATTCTATATTTTTTGAACTTATTCCACTAAAAGAAAAAAAAAAAAGGATGATAAGAGTATTAAAGGCAGTTTCATTGGTTGTAGTAAGGAAATCAAGGATTATTAACTATGATACTATTTAAAAAAATAATAATTATAAGTCAAGATGTGATATTTACTAAAAATTATGTTTGTAATTGAAGTGATTACTAGTCTCATTTCAAATGTGCCAAGAAAAAAAATTCTTCATGATTACCTCATCATGATGCATCTAGAAGCTAGTTTAGTTCTTACAAGAGTTTTATATGTGAATATTTTAATGTATGATGATTATTTGTAGTTTAATAATATGTATTTGAGCATTTATATTATTATATGAGTATTTTTGTCAATGATTTTGTAATTTTATGCTTTATATAGTGAGCCATTTATCATGTTATGACTCATATAGAGATTTCATGATACATAATTTGAAAGTAATTATTGTATATATGATATGCATGATAATGATGATATATATGAAAATAATGATAATGATTAACATTTTAGTGACAAATTCATATTTTGAGGCAAGATAATGTATTTTTTTGTCTCTCCCTCTTATATATATATATATAACAAGCCTCTTATAATTCTAAACATTTGATTATCGAATGAAGAATTATTTCTTGAATTGTATACTCATCTTGCTTTCTCTTTATCTATGTAAAGAATTTTTTAAGTGCAAGTGAAATGGACATTGGAAACGGACTTGCAAAGAAGAAAAATCACAATCAAAACGAAGTATTGGTCCTGAAAGTAATCGTCACTATATATCATCTATTACATTAATGGTTAGCATGATTTTCACAATACAAATTTTATTTTCAATATACTTTCGCTATCGTTTCTTCTTCTTCTTCATAGTATCTTCTTGTCTAATTTCTCACTCTTATTTTTTGTATAAAACCGTCAAACATGTCGTCTTTGTTCGAACTAATAGCAAGCATAACACACTTAATTTAAAGTTGAATCTTTTCTTTTAACACAAAAATCTCCGACTTGTTAACTTTATTAAATGCTGGCAAATCTCTAAAGTTATACTTTATTTGGGATAGCTTTCGTGTTGCTTTATAAAATAATTTTTTGATACAAAAACTATTTGGAAAAAAAATTGTATTAAAAAACCGATTTAAAAATCAATAAAAAAGATATCTCAAACAAAGCATTAACTTCCCATCTCTTCTTTCAAAATGTCAGAAGTCTCGCACATTTCGGCAATTCTTGTAAAATTTTTGGCCTTGTAATAGGCCTAAATGTTTCAAAGATAAAATTACAAAATAAAGAATGATGAAATGAAGAAAGAGATGCATGTAATATATTGAAAGGAACCATTGATGAAAGTTGAAAGAACTGTTTCCAGATAGAGGAGCTATTCTACTATCTACTAAAATGGATCAACAAATCTAAATTCAATCCTGCAGAGACTCTCCAAAGAGATCAATCTTGTTTGGTTGTCAAAGATAAATGATACCATAAGAACTATTATGGCTTTAATTACTAAAAAAATATGAAAGTATTTCAATCAGATAAACATATTATTTTTGTAAATGAAGAGCTTAAGGAGGAGTTTGTCAAACATTAATGACACAATCATGTGGCGAAAAGCATGGCTGGAGCACAAAGTCGATCTGCAAGTTATAAAAGACATTAAATGTGCATAAGCAAACATCAAGATCATGACATAGCATAATTGATAAGTATTTTATTGCAAATAACTTCAAAAAAAAGTGCTTATGAACTCAAGCTTTTCATTAGAAGTCAAGATGGTGAAATCACGATTGTTTGCTCATATGTGGATGATACAGCGTATAAACTAATTTCTTTTATAAATATTGAATGACTATAGAGAAAGCACGAAGAGTCACTTTGAAATATCATATTTAAGATATGTTTGGGACATCGTTCTCACTGTTTTACCTTTCAGACTGTAATTACCGTTCTACTTGACTACTACTATTTTGCTACTTCGAAATTTTTGTAGTAATCAGCTACTTTTACAACTAGAATTACTAATGTATGATAGTTTTACGAAAACAACTATTTGATTAAAAAAAAAAACATATTTATAATATCTCGAATAAGTTTACAACAGCTTCAAAATTATCTTTATAAAATATTGTAGCCGTTCTAAACAGACACTTGAACTTGCTATCATGGTATTCATTTCATTCAAGATTTAAAGACAATCTTTATTTATCAAGAAAAAAAAAATTTAATTTTACTCTATTTTTTTCATAAAGTAAGGCATCAAAATATTTGATTGGAAGTCATGCAAAATTTATGCAAAATTAAACCGACATCATTTGAGCGCAGCACATTCCAGTCAGAGAAGTTTAAGAAAAGTTAGAAAAAATAAAATAAATGGTCATATAAATTCACTATGTTATAATGTATCTGGGCAGCATATAATATCCCCGGGTCATTGAGGATATAGTACACAGCTCATCTTAGTCTATTGATTGAGAGCTTTGACTTTCAACTAAAAAGTCTTTAAGTTTGAATATTATGCATATCATCATTGGCTGGAATGAATAGGGTTGAGCTATTGTGCTGGCTCTTTTGGACTGCGAAGGTTTATTCATGACTGGACTGTTTTGTTTACCTGGATGGCCTGCTTAGGCAATCGGGTAATATGGTTTTGAAGGGCAATGATGAATGCAACATTATATCTATCCCCTTGGATGGTCTCTTCGGCAACCAGGGGACCCAATCATCCGTTTGGATGAATTTTGACGCATGGGAGTTTAACTTGAGTGTTGCAACCTGAGCCCTTTTTATTATTCACTTTTATTTTTTGCACCCTTTAATGTCTGTATTTTTTTGGTTTTTCTGCAGCTTTAAGCTGATAGTTTGTTCCTGCTCTCTTTTATTCTGCAGCCTTTTTGTTGCTGATAAGGTTTTGTTGACAGCCACTGGTAGGCTGTGGTGGCTGCCAATTTTTTTCTGTAACTTTTTTTACATTATATGAAATTGGCTCTGGCCCTAAATATTTCCAAAAAATATATATATATATATTATGCATATGATGTGTGTGTAAATTTATCTAAATGTAAAAAAAAAAAAAAAAATCGAGCATACAGTGACAGCTTAGCGAACAGAGGATGGGCGTACTTTGTAGGCTAGCCCATAATTTCTGCAGTGCAGGCACTGAAATATATGATTGCGAGGCCCACCGAATGCCAAATTAAACAATCCGTGACCTGCCGGGCCCACATTGCCAGCCCACCACATCACGTCTTCGCTCGGATGACTAGGATAGGCGCGCTGAACGAAAAAAGATCTATCATCCTGTACACTAAACACGCTACACAGTGACCAACTTTTAGCCACATGAAGAAAGTTTTGCATTATTGGGCATATACATAATATAATTTAATAAGAATATCAGAAAAGCTTCACCCTCATTAGTGAGAGGGCTGTTTGTTTGAAGAAATTATTACATAGAAGATAATGTGCATTAATGTTGTTATAGATGGAAAGCAATGAAGTCAGCTGGTATTTTGTGTTGGTGTCAATGGCATGGATCAACTTTATGGGAGATGCATGCATCCAATATAGTCGGGCGATAATAATTAGATTATTGTAGTGGAGAAATTGTGGTTGAAAGACTATATAGCGGTGGTCAGATAATCATATTTGAGCAATAATAATTGGGAGATCATAATGAGGTGATTATGGGCAAATGAATGTAGTTGAGCAATGGTCTTCGGGCGACAGTGATCACCAGATAGTAGTCAAACAACAATGATAGTAAAATCGTAATAAGATGATGTTGATTGGAGGACTAATGTCGGGCTACAATGGTTAAAGAGCCACGATAATCAAAGGATCATAATTAGAAAATTGAAATAGTGCAATGGTTGTTGGACTGTTGCAGTGAGTACTTTACCTTTAAAGATAGGATACGAAATGAGCATATATGTAAAAAGGTTGGGGTAGCTCTAGTGGAAGATAAGATTAGAGAGAGTCGTCTTAGATGGTTTGGCCGCATTAAACAAAGGCCTTTCGATGACCCGGTTAGGAAAGTTGAGGTATTAGATTTGACTTATGTTAAAAAAGGTAGATGTAGAACTAAAAAAATTTGGTTAGAAAATATTAGAAATGATATTTCTTTGTTAAATTTAAATGAAAATTTGACATTTAACAATACACAATAGTGAAAAAGGATTCATGTAGCCGACTCCACGCAGTGGGACAAAGGCTTGTTGTTGTTGTTGTCATTATTGTTGTGGGCAACAATAGTTTGATGGTGGTTGTCCATTGGTGGTAGTTCATCAACATTGGCTGAATGATGATAATCATACTACAATGGTTCGACGACTAAGCTTTCTTCATTTCTAAATCAAGGTTCAAGCTCAAGCATCATCTTTAATCCCCCATTTATATAGAGAGTGGAGATCCATTTATAAATTTTAAAAGTGACACTTTTCATAAATAAAGCTAAAATATTAAAAACTCCATCCAATGACCTATATTGGCCCGCTTTAGCATATATATCATTCTTTTAACATTTAGATGCCTCAAGGGTATCAAAATTAAGCAATATTTCGCTCATTAGATTATTCTTATCAAGATGCTCCTTTCACTATAAGCATGGAGAATTTGAAGAATGTTTAATCCTCAATTTAATGTATAAAAATGTTCAATTATGTTTCAAGCATTTGATTCATGCTCAATTGTATGCAGACGGGATCACTTTTGGTATTAATGATTTTATCTCAATGATACATCCAATTCAACTATAAATTTGTTGAAATCGGAGTTCAAATGATCCTGAATGTAGTTTAAAAATTTATCTTTAGAATATTTCCTCCTAAATTATGCTTGATCATGTAAATTATTGGATAACTTTTTATGGGCAATGCTAAATTCCTCTAATTTGGTCAAGTATTTCTTATTTTTTTCGTCTCACAAATCACTACAGGAAGATCATCTATTATAGGCAAAAAAAATTGGCAGAATTTGGGCCTTTCTGGCATATTTCAAGATTTACAGAGGCTTTTCGGCAAAATTTTTCATGTCAATTTTAGTTGCGCAGGAAACATAATTCGACGGTAATTCTTTAATTGGAAAAATTTTCCAACAAATTTCTGATGGCCTGCCACCGATAATTTCTGGCAGTCAAACCATCGAAAGTTTTCCAATGGTTTTTGCTGTCAGTTCTTGAATCGTTGTCATATCGAAGTTATCCGGTAGTTTTGGCCGTCGGAAGGCCACCAAAAACTTATAGGATGGGCAAACAAAAACAAAAATATGACAGCCCCTTATTAGTCCACAAGCATATTCCACAATCAAAACCTACAACAGTTAATGAATGAATACACAATAGAATTCATCCTCATACAATATTGACGCTCAAAACATACAAAAACAATTTAAAATATAAGTTTAACAACAACAAAACACAATCATTTAAAATAAATGACTTCAAAATATTTAAATTGTTAAGATAAGTATTCCAAACAATTAAAATAACATTAAATTATTCAAAATACAATAGTATGATCTCCACCAATAAAATACAATAACTTAAACATTAAAATGTCTAATCATCTTTCGTCTCCTCGCTCCCGTCTGATTCATGCTCAGACTGCTTGTAATAACCAATATAATGACTTTCTCATTTTTTTTTGAAGTCATTATAACTCTAAATCGCAAACCGTCTTCGCTATAGTATTTTGATTTGATATTTTATCTGAATTATTTATTGATAGATGATATTAGATAGCTATGGTGTTGTTTATTAAATGATAAATGAATAATTCTTCTAATTTAGATTATGGGACATCACACTACTGATCATTTTTATTTCCTTCTTGTCTTAAGATATGACTGTAGCTCCACCTGCATCTCAGTTTGTTGTGTCAATATGTTGACCTATATCTATTTCATATCCTCCGTCTCTTTGTTGAGAGAAGCAACACTCTGACTGATGATATCATCAACTGCACTATTACCAAAATATGCTGAGGTGGATGTATTGCTCTCATATGCATACGCCTGCTAACCTAATCCATAAACCCTCCCCTTCTGTCTCCCTTCACAACCTCTGACCACATATGGCACTCAGAGTATTATGTTGATCCTGAAGATGACCCCTTAACAGTAGACATCGAACCCCCTCGAAGTTGTACAAAATCATCTTATCTCTCTCTCTCTCTCTCTCTCTAACTTTGTTTCTCTACCTCACTCTTGCTCTCTCTCTCTCTCTCTCTCTCTCTCTTTGTGAGAACTCGTTCCTTTGTTTGCCTTCCAAGATCTGATTTTCCTCCCAGGATCGTCCGGGACGATTTTGGATTGTCCTGGGACGATCAGTGCATGGCAAAAGTCAGTGAGCAAGGGTTTTTATCGTCCAAGGAAATTAATTATCGTCCTGAGATATCGTCCTGGACGATTGGATTTTGTTCATATCGTCATGGACGATGTGGCGATCGGCCGGGCCGATCAGGTTTGTTTTAAAAGAAAATCAGCTCGATTTGATGAGAGAAAAAATCATTTTTATAAAAAAAAAATATATGAGGAGAGAGAAGGAGAAGGAAAGCAAAGGAAAAGCTGAATTTCGGAGGCCGCGGAGCGCTTTTTGTCCGTCGCCGCTGTTGGGAGAAGTGTTTATCTCGCAGTAAGGACTCCGAACCCTATTTCTGTTTTCGAATATGTTGAGTTTTGATAATTTTGTGCTCAGATTTGTGTTTTCGTTACCAAAAAACGCGCACCATTTTGTATTGACGAAAGTTTCACCGCACAACTTTTGGTATGTTATTGATATAATATTTCTGCACGTTTTGATTATTTTCTGGAGAATTTCGACCGGTTAGTTTTGATTCAGCGGTGTTTTATGTTGACTGTAAATTTATATGATGTCGGAATTTGTTTGAGCAGTAGAATAAAAGTCTTATATTGTTGTTGTGCACGTTCTGTATTAATTTGGTAATTTCTGATTTTAGGAATTTTTGTGTAAATTCCGTATACTGCCGTTATGCCGCTGGATTTTCGTACGATTTCCGATTTTCTGAAATTGATGATTTGAATGCATACGAATGTGACTATCTGATTATTGTTACTGAAAGACAAGTGAAGACTGGTTGAACCGTTGGTTGGAGATCGACTTGACCTGTACAGGATGGTGGGCCGACGGGCTTTCCTTTAAAAAGGGTTTGATGTTATCCTCTATTGATCATTGATATAACGATTGGGAGTCATAAGGAGATTACTATGCCGACGGGCACAGAGTGGCGACTCTTATTGAACAAACGGATAGATATCTACAACAGCATTATGAATTTCTACAACAGCATTATGGATTATCGACTTGAAAAATGCCTTAATAGCCAGCGATATACTTGTTCAGTAAGACTATTGTGTGGAATTGTATGTGTGCGGTTTTGGCTTGTTGATCTTGTTTTGGATTTATAGAGTTATGGACATCGATAGATTTCATCGACGGATTTATTGTAATGAATTGATTTATTGCTATCGATTATGGATTTGCTGACGGAGTGCCGGGTTTACTGTTATTGTACGATTTCATTGATATTCGCATTATGTCACTGAGCTGATACTGATACTGTTATGGATTGATATGGAGACTGTAGGGATGCATGGATATCGACATCGACATTGATTGATTATATTGATTCAGGGATACTATTGATAATACTATTGATCCACTGATACATTGATTCATAGTATCGATCATTGATTGATTGATTGGGTTGATTACTTATATTTATTGATTTAATTGTTGTATATGATTTCATTGCATTGATTGATTTCAATTGTATTTACCGATTATATTGATTTAATTTCAACTGCTCTTACAATATATTGATTTGATCGTTTTATGGGATTCTATGTCGATGGATATTATTGACCGGAAGTAATTGCTTTACTGAGTTGATTGATGCGATTTCACTATTGTAGCATCATTCGTTGTCGTCATTGGATTGTTCTCGTTATGGATATGGATACATACGCTGCCGTACTGACAGGGAGCAAGTGATATTGAACAACTGATTGATTTGCAAGTGTATGTTCTGATACGATTCTACTCTATTGATTTGACTGATGTTATAGACTGATACGATAGATAAGACGGCTAGACGACTATATTGATGTAACTGATGTTATCGACTGCTATGATAGATACTGTAGAGATTTGATGCACGCATTGATTTCTTGAGCTTTATGGATTTCCTACTGTTCACTGATTTTATTGATTTCTATTCTGTATTAATTTTCGTATCTGCATCGACTCGTTGATCATGTGCGACTGATTGATTTGACTTGATTTGATTGACATGCATATTGCTTCTATCGTGCTTTGATTTCAGTTGTAGGTTTTGGTGACCTGCTGGGCTATTTAAGCTCATTATATATGGTTAATATTTTCAGGTGCAAAGCCTCCCGCGTGAAGCTTCTTCGGTTACTAGTGTAGTTTTGTTTTTTGTAGCCTTTGGCAGGCATTTGTTTTTTGTAGCCGAATGGCTATTATATATATTCTTTTGGACGCTCCTTTTGACTGTGTATATGTTGAAATGTGAATTATAGTAGTTGCTGTATTTCTTTTATTTAATGTAATTATCTCTGGATGTCTGTATTGATCCGAACAAGAAAGGGACGAAAAAGAAGAATGTCAGATGAATCCTTTCACTATTGATATCTGGGACGTTACACTCTTACTCTTTCTTGAACTCTCCCCTCTCCTATTTCTTTGTGTCTCTTTCACTCTATCTTCCTTTATCTATATTCCACATGCTCATGCACTATCTCTCTTTCTCTCTCTCTCTCTCTCTCTCAAATGCTAGCTCTCTGACTTTATATCTCAATTTGAATAAAGATTTTATCAAACTTACGACCAAACTAAATGCCTTAAAAGGAACAAACTCATGAGCATCGAAATCGATCCTTAAATGTCTATCAAAAATTTCTTAAATAAACCCTAAACTTAACCCTAAAAAATTTGGCGATGGTGTATCAAAATAAATGAACATAAAGCTATTTATATGTGAAATCATAAACCCTAAAACTAGATCTATGAAGTTATATAATATTGAGTGAAAAAACTCTATAAGATAGGTATAAAAAAATTTTCTAACGGCTCAAATTGCACAAAAAAGAATTGGAGTGAAGAGGATGAGTTTTATCTCGAAAATCTTGAAGAAACAGAGAGAAACGAGCCAAAAAAGACTTGGATTGACGGTTGGGGGAAAAGAAGCTGTTAGCTTTGACTCTTGCCAGAATGCGTGAAAATGAGAGAGAGGGACATGTTGGGGAGAAATAGGGTCTTTTCCGACGGATTTTCAGGCGAAAATTCCATCGAAAAATTTCACTTAAAACCGGCGGGACATGAGACGAAAAATACGACAGATCCAACGAACACCGCTGGAATGTCCGGCGGTCTAAAACCACCGGAATTTCAGGAGGTTTCAGACTGCCGGAAATTCCGTCGGTATCCCGTGATTTTAATGTAGGAAATAAAGTTCTATAAGATAAATTATCTAATGTGAATTGAAAAAATTGTGACGTAAATAATATTATTTTTTGACATATATGAAAATCACACCATTGATTTGCTTTACAACGTAAGATTTATATGCCAAGATCAAAAAATCTGACTCCTATCTATCACCCTCTAATTTAAAAAATTACATAGCATGCCACTAGAGCTAAAGCTTTCTCATAAATAAGCTGAAGCATAAAATTGCAGAAAAAAGTGGCATAACTACATTATCAAAAAGATTGTTAAAGATACGCAAAAAGATAAAGATGCATTGAAATTAACCAAACCTGTCAAGACGGCTCTGTTGATGGTTGGAGGGACACTACAGCAGGCGGTGAGTAACCAGACATTCTTTGATGGTGCAGAACCAATTCAATTGATTCAGCAATATGCACATCATTTGAGATTTGCCGAGCAAAGGATTTCATCTGATTTTGAGAACTAGAAACAAATAATAGTGCTCGACAAGTTGGACAAGAGTACGCCTCAGTCCAGCCCTGATCAAGCCTAGTAAATATGAGAAAAAAAAAAACTAAGCATAACAATAGCAACAATTTAAGAATAAAAAATAGAGATTTGATGTTATGTTAGCATGTAAACTTACAAAATTTTGTAATAAAAAGCTGTTTTAGAAAGTGTGTAGATTAAATGCAAGAAGAAATAAGTAAATTTCACAAAATTAGCTAGCATCACATGATCATTTTATCATTACATTATCCAAACAATATGGGTTGGCTTTGTGAGCCCTTTGCCATGACTGAATGTTCAGAGTTGTCCATGGTGTTAACATTTGATTTACTGCAGTATTTTTGCAGAATTTGAATTCAAATTATTTGGTTGACCTTATTTCTTCCCACTCTTTCATAAAATGTTTTCCTAGTTTGATTTTCTTGCATAAACTTAATTAATTATCCAAAGTAGATGCAATTATCACCAACTTTTGTTCCATTTCCCTTTTACACAACCTCGTTTCATGACATAAGTTTGATTCCCCAACGTTAACACAATTTTGACCATCCAATTATGTGTAAATATTAGTAGTAAAGTACTTTCTCCAATTTATCTAGCATTGTTCTTGTCTGTAGCTAGGATTTATCGAAAAGATTTACTGATTATAGAACTCCAACGTTTAAATCTTCAGATATTAATAGTTCTCCTAAAATTTTCATTTTTTTCATCATCTAGATCTTCAAAACTAACTCACCATCTTTTTTATTGATCTTTGTTGCAAGGCATATAGAACATCGGCCATCGGGTACCGAATAAAGGTGAATATATTTTATGTTGAAACACTAAGTGGCAAACCCTCGACCATTCCCTTTTGCTCACAGTCCCCAAAAACTTGATAATTTTTCATTTCATTCTTCCAATATAATCTCCTTAGAATTATAGTTACTAAAATTTTCAAATAAAATTTCTAACATCCAGTTTTGTCAGGTGACAAGATGCTACAATCTTCACCTTGAACAAATTGACTTTAACAAGAGTCAGATCTCCATGTTCTTGTGTTAGCCATATTTTATTTATGCATCTCCTTTTTCTCATTTCTGGAACCTAAAAAGCAATATGAATTATCAAAAACTAATAGAATTTTTCTTACTGCCTTTTTACTACTAGTAAAGAATGAACAATATAAGCAAGTTAAATGAATGAAAATATCGAAGGTGCCAAAATACTAATTTTAACGATAAGGATTATCTTCTCCTAGGCTCTTATTAGCACCTCGGTAGACTTCAGTTCCGCATCACAGCATAGTACGAATTGCCTTAGCTCCCACAATTTTGTGATGTGAGTGGCATCCTTGTAGCTTGTGTCAGGCAGTGCTTTAACATATTATTATTCACATCAAATTTATGTTGCGTATTCAAAATATTCCCAAATGAAACTCTTCTTGGTCTGTTGGTTGGGAGTTTTGACTAGCAACTAAGAGATCTTGAGTTCGAGTCTTATGTATGTTATATGTGTCTGAATTTTCCTTAATTGACCTAAATGTCCCAAAAAAAATCCCTGAAAAATATATTATTATACACTTTTAGGACTGATGATGAATGATAGGGTGATGCCAAATTTCCTCAGACATAACGTATATCAGAAAAAACTAATGAACCTATCAATTTTCAGCTAGTTGTTTTTTTTTTTTAATGCACAACCACTGCCACGCCCTGGATCAAATGACATTACTTGCTCAAAAAGAGTAGGGCTATGAAATCCAAGTCTATTTCAGAAAAAAAGATATGCAAAGAAACGAACTGTATGTTTTCCCAGAGGAAATACAATAATAGTCGTAGAATTTCTTTGTATTCTTTTCACACGTAAAAACGTTAATAAGCTTAATGATGAGTGTAGGATAGCATAACAGTAAAACTTTGTCATTTATTTGGTCCGGTGAACGTACGCTCCTCTACGTTCGGCCACCAATATTTTAGCGACACGTAGCATGAAGAAAAGTCGCCGACCCGACCCGCTGTTTTTTGGGTTCTAGCACGTGCGTTTTTTTAAATCCTCCCTCCATGACCCCTTCCTCCGCCTTGTCCGCAGCCTCCTCAGCTCCCCATCCCCTCCCCTCTGCCTCATCTCCGACTTCTTCTTAGGCTGGACTCTCTCCATCTGTCGCCGCTTCGGCCTCCCCCGCCTAGTCTTCCACGGCATGTCCACCTTCTCCATGTCGCTCACCAAGTCACTCTGGAACAATATTCCCAAAGACGAGCCCTTTTCGGTCGCGGGAGCACCGCCGGAGCTCCAGCTCACCTTAGCCGACGTACCGGAAGCCGTGATCAACTCGGTCGATCCGCTTGACCCGGCGAATCAGTTTTTAGAGTCGACCGGACAAACAGACACCGAGAGTTGGGGAGTGATCGTCAACAGCTTCGCCGATATCGAACCGCCGGCATACGTTCAACTCCTTGAATCGTTCTACGGACCGGTTGCCGGAGGCTGAGTTTGGCTCGTCGGCCCGCTAAACCTCCTCACCGAAATCGAACCGGTGGAGAAGCCCAGCTCTGAGTCAGAGTGCATTCGGTGGCTCGACCTGCAGCCCGATGGATCAGTCATCTACATGGTGTTCGGGACGCAGGCGGAGATTTCGGCAATACCGAGCAAATCCTGAGCAATACCGAGCAAATCCCTAGCAAATACCGAGTAAATCCTTAGCAATGCCGAGCAAATTCTGAGCAAATACTGAGTTGTACCGAGTTGTACCTAGTTTTTTCTAGCAATACCGAGCAAATACCTAGCAATACCGAGCAAATCCTTAGCAATACTGAGCAAATCCTGAGAAAATACTGAGTTGTACCGAGTTGTTTCTAGCAATACCGAGAAAATACCTAGCAATACCGAGCAAATCCCTAGCAATACCGAGCAAATCCCTAGCAAATACCGAGTTGTACCTAGTTGTACCGAGTTGTAGAAAAACTCGGTACAACTCGGTATTTGTATAGTTTTGGTCTTCACAGAGCGGTATTTCTCGTTTTTGCAAAGCAATACCGAGCAATACTGAGAAAATCGCGAACATAGCATTCCCGGGTTCCGCTCCGGGTCAAGTCGTCGGGCCGCGCGGTAAAGAGTAAGAGCACGTGGCGACATGTTATTGGCGGCCGAACGTACCTCTACGTCAGGTTAGAGGACGTAATAATTGTTCCACAGATAAGCCAAACAGAATTAAGATAAACATTCTTTTCCTATCAAAATCAACATTCAAATCTTGACACAGTATGATAAAAGCTTGTTGTTATTGTGGATAACGCATACCAATTTATGCTTAAAAAAAGAATAAGAAGGCAAATGCCTCAAAATTAAAAGAAAATCCAAAGTGTATTCTAATTTTAAATTTAAGAAGCAAAGTACACAAGCAAAAGAATCATACCATGATTTTAAGCAAGCAAGGTGAAATAAGTGATTGCAAGGTAGCTTTTTAGCTTTGGTCATTTGTCCCTGCATTTAAATGGCTGATCAATCCCATATCCATTGTAAGTAAAAGTAAAAATCCATCACAAAAACTGGAAGAAATTCCTCACTCTACAAATTGCGCATTGGTCATCATATGCAGATAGCTCTTTATTTGTAGCATCAGGAAGTTCTTCACCAAGGGAAATTGAAGCATTATTTAACTTGATAAAACCTCTCACTCGCTTCACCATTGCAATCAGACTATGCTGTTTAATTATGTTCATTGAAATGAAGGACATTGACAGATTACTACTGTTCAGAGGGAAGGGCCAACTGAAAGATAAAGAAGCATGGTTCTCAAAGGAAAGGCTCTCAAAAGAAATATACTTACATACAAATACAGGAAAAGAACAGCATTTGCGAGGTCAAATGCCATGCCTTGCAGCCACCATATCATCAAGTAATGCCCAACTGACATCAATAAAGCTACGAAGTCTAGGAGAAAACCACAATTACGATTAAGAAGCCCCTTCCACTCTTCTAGAGATCCAGCAGCTGAAATTTTTCACCAAAATAACCATATTACAGCTATGTTTACCCCATATTCACAAGGACAAGCAGAAATCATGCAGAGTTTCAACATTTGAGAACTAATGTTAAGACTCAAAAGATATAGAACCGCAGCTAAGCATAAAATTAAGTTGAAACGAGAATCATTTGAATGACAATAGAATCATATATCATCTGAGTAAACTAACAGCAGGAAAACAATGCCATCGCATTTCATGTAAGGAGCTAGTGAATATATAAGAAGAGCACAAGGCCACTTACATGTCACATTTTATCCAAGTAGCTAGTGAATAAATAATTTTAAAGAAGGTATATAATTTTAAAGAAGGCCGTAGGTCGGACTCAAACTTATAACCTCTACTATGAAAACTAGGGAGCATGCCACTTGAACTAGAGCTCTTTGTTGTATCCCCACCGCAAGGTGCTATTGAATAAAAATTGTGATTGAAGGCATATCAATCTGAAGGCCGGTAATGAGTACTGGCATCATTTCAAAGGTTCACCAATCAAGATGAGCACAATCTTAGTAAGATCAACAATAAGTTTATATACATTCTAAGATCATGATCAATCACATTATGAAACTGTTAGACCAGCCCATTGGACCAATCCAGCCGGTTCGACGGGACTGGCTTACGCGAACAAAGGCGGACATTTTTTCCTCTTGTGCCCAAGATTGCGTAAGCTGTTTAGGAAGGATTTTCAGGGAGTTAGAAGGGAAAATTGAATTTAGGGACTGTTTAGCGATTTCATATTGATTTATATGCATTAAATAGTTTATTTTCCTAGGGTTAGGGCATCTTGAATTTGGCTGAAATTTGAGATCTCATAGGTTTTCATTGGGCTCTAGCGGCGTCAAGAGATTTGAGAGAGATTGATTCTCCTCTCGAATAGAGGCATCTTGTAATTTTCTTCCGTAATTTGTTTTCTTGCAATAAAATTACTATTTTTCATTGATTGTCCATTGGAATCATGGAGATTTCTCGCTATTTTTGCTCTCTTGATAGGATTTACGTGAAATATTCAAGTGTTTCTTATCAAATTGGAATCAGAGCAATTTCCTGGCCAAAAATCGAAGTCTCCTCGCTAATTTGTGCTGCGTTTCACTCATCGAGCTGCTATTTTTTGTTATTTGCAGGCTAGAAACTGCTGTTTTTTTGCCGTTTTTGATGTTGGGAGTATAGATCCGGGTACTGATGGCAGGGAAAAAGGTAGAATTGTTGGAAGTGGAGATCGGACAATTGAAAACTGAAATTTCAGATCTCCACAGTCAACTTTCATAAGTCAAAATACAAATATCAGCCATCCACGAGAAGATGGGTGGGAATTTTTCCAACCTTGGGGAGACGATGAAGAAGTTGCTCGAGGGTCAATCCAAAACGGCATCGTCAGAGGCGAGGGAAGCCTTCGGCAACCCAGGAAGCGGGGAAAACTCTAATCGAATAAGGCAAAGTGAAGATCAGAAGGTGGAGATTCAAAAAGGGAAAAGAGAGAATGCCTCCCCTAGAGCCTGTTCTTATGGGGGAGTCCGGTAGGGGGTATGGGGAGAAGCGTGAGGAGATGGAGCAAGAATGAAGATGAGATGATTTAGAGAGAAGAGGGGCTGAATTTGAAAGGGGAAGGGGTAATTATGACCAAAAGGGGGCTGCATCTGAAAGGGGAGGGGTTTGTTATGATATAAGGTGATGTAAAACAAAATGGGGGTGATAAAAAAAATAAAGATATAAAATTTCATCTCAGATTTCCCTTAATTAATGGATTTGAATTTGAATTTCAAATAAGAAAAGAAGAGAGGGAAGAGAGGAATTAATTATCTCCTTAATTGGGGCATTTAATTAGGGAGGAAATAATTAGGATAGAGGAGAGAGAGGGTCCGACCAATGAGGGAGGGAAGGAGGTGTCCATATTCGATGTGGACCCTTGCATTGAATGCGATTGGAAAAAATTAAATTTGAATTTAAAATTAAGAATTGGAGAGATTGAGAGGGGTTTTCCAAAATAGGTTAACTAATCCGGAAAGATTTTGAAATTCAAATTTATTTGAATTCAAAATAAAAGACTTTCCAAATTAATCATTGGCTAGATTAGGAAAATAATTATGAAGCAATTTGAATTTGGAAATCAATGGGTTGTGGAGGAGAGGCCGGCGACATGATGGAGTGAACTAGGGCTTAGGGAAAGGGATTTAGAGATTGCCTTATTTAGGATCTTAATTTAGGAAGAAATAATTTAAATCAAATCCAATTATAAATTTAATTGGATATAATTTAAATAGCTTTCCTAAAATAGAGAACCTAATTTAGGAAATAAATTCAAATTCAATTTGAATTTTGAATTCAAATTTGGTGCTAAAATTGGGGAGGCTAAAGTAGGAAGGTCATAAAAGAAAGAGGGAATTGAGGATCCTATGGGGAAAGGTTGGATAGGCCGATGGTGTGGAGGTGATGTGGTGAGAAGATCGGCGCCTTGGTGGAGGGCTTGAGGAGGTGGCAGTTGAGTGAAATAAGGAAAAACAAAACACAAAAAAAAAAGATAGAACCGTGAGCCTTGGACTCTTCCGAAGACTGACGGGTGATGTGCTGCCCTTCGCCAAAAGACTTCAAGCCACGAGCCCGGACTCATCCTGCGATAGGTGGAACTATGATTCCCTCCATAGGGATTCTCACTAACGTCCTCCCAAAGAACAAAAGTGCTGAACAATTTTGTTTATTAAAACACCATCATGTCAATACAAAAACAATGGCCTCTATATATAGGCCTCAGAAATTAAAGAACTAAAATAAAATGAATATGCTCCGAGAGCTTACATAAAAGTAGACCCTTAAGGGTAAAAATGGATAATACATGATTAAAATAAAATTACAAATAAAAATTTAAGATAATGTGGGATGATCACGGCCGTCGATCTTCAGCTCCTCCTCGGATAGACATGGACGGTTGGATGTTCGCATCATAAGCAGTACTGAATTTGAAAGAAGAAGATGAGAATTTGATGATAGGCTTGGGTATGAACGTAGAATGGATGATTGGGAAACTTGGGGGGAACCACCCCTTTGGGGAAGAAGAAATTATGAAGGGAACAGAGGGAACAGAGGCGATCTGAGGGTGAGGAAGCTGAAGATGCTTATTTTTTAGAGAGAGGATGTCCATGGGTGGATCTACAAGGCGGAAAGGTAATTTAACATCAACAAGTTAACGAAGGGGGAGAGACTGATGGCAGCTGGGACGTGCTTGGAAGAGAAAGCTTTAGCATGCTACCAGTGGAATGATACGAGGCGACCAATAAAGACCTGAAGGGAGTTTAAGGACTGCCTGTTAGAACGTTTCCAAACCAGCAGGGGGGACTTCTACGAGCAATATTTACCTTTGATGCAGGAGGGGACAGTGATGGAGTACCGTGAGAAATTTGAGTACCTTGCCAGTTGATTAGATCAACTTCTAGAGACTGTATTGGAGGGAAAATTTATGAACGGACTGATACCAAAGATCCACGCAACAGTCAGAGTGATGAGACCTCGGGACTTGGGAGAGTCTTTGGAGCAAGCTAAGTTGGTGGAGGATCAGAAGCACCTGGAAAAAGGAGCAGGAGGGAGAAGTTCAGGAGGCTCGTACAGAATGAGCATCCCCTTTTTGGCAAGCAAGGAGCTAACACCAGGTACTCTTAGGGAGCCTTCGAAGGAGAACACTACCGGAGGAAGACCTGGGGACAACTTCAAGAAGCTCACATAAACAAAATTACAGGAGAAGAGGGCGAAGGGGATTTGTTTTAGATGTGACGAGAGGTATATGCCAAGGCACAGGTGTAAGAATCGAACTCTTCAGGTTCTAACCGTTTGTGAAGAAGAATGAATGGAGGAGGGTGTCATCTTTCAACTTTGTGAACAAGGTGGATCTTTGGAATGGGAGTATTATTAGACCGGTCTAGCCGATCCGACGGGACGGGCTTATGCGAACAGAGGTATACATTTTCGCCTCTTGTACGCGCCGAACGCACGCCGGGGCATGCGTGAGCTTTTTAGGAAGGATTTTTTAGGGAGTTAGGAGGGAAATTTGGATGTATGGACTATTTAGGGATTTCCTTTTGATTTGTATGCATTAAATAGTTTGTTTTCCTAGGGTTAGGACATTTGAATTTGGCTGAAATTTGAGATCTCATAGGTTTTCTTTGGGCTCTAATGACGTCTAGAGATTTGGGAGAGATGGATTGCCCTCTCGAATAGAGGATCAATTGTATCTTGTTATTTTAGTACGTAGTTTGTTTTCTTGCAATAAAATTACAATTTTTTTACTGGTTTTCTATTGGAATCTTGGAGATTTCTCATTGATTTTTTGCTCTCTTGATAAGATTTACTTGAAATCATCAAGTGTTTCCTATCGGAAACCTAGTATTTTGATACTAATAAGTGATCAACATCATCCAAATCCTCGCTAAAACCAACCTCATCAACAACATAATTTTTAATTAGCATATTCCAATCAACAAAATGTTATAAGATCTGTTAACCCCCATGTTACAGCCAAAGTGAAGTAGACAAAAAAATAATTGCTCAACTCATTACCTGCCGCAACCTGCAAACCATATCCTGTGTGTAAATCCTGCCATAAATCTCGCCTTAGCTATAGTAGTCATTTCCTCTGCAAAATGTCGCCGAAGCGTTGCTTCTCTCGTCATTTCTGCTTGAATCCCACCTCAAAAGCACGCTTATTTGCGTCTTCAGCTTCTTCTTCTTTCACGTGCGCAAGAGCCGAAGCTTCCCTCTCCTATGTTTTGAAGCTCCCTCATCCATCTTCCAGTTAGCCTCTCAATCGACCTCTTCCTTATCTCCTGTCGACTGAAGCTCTTCATCTTCCGCCTCCAAGCCAACCAAGCATCTTCCCACATCCGACTCCTCTTCCTCTCTCCTTCCCTGTCATGTTCGCAAGCAGTGGCGGATTTACCATGGGGCCCTGGGGGCACGGGCCCCCACTGACTATATATTTAATACTTAATTACATTCATTTATGACTACTTAATTACAATTAAAAGCAGATTTTACGGGTTTTTTTTTTGGGTTTTCCAATTCCCGCCGCTCAGCTCTATCCCTCCTTTTCACGCATACAGCGGACACAACAACCGAAGGCCTATTTTCACGCGACTAGGAAAGTTCTCATGCGCATACGGATTGAAGGCGAAGAGCCGCCTTTGCTTTCTCTTCCGAATGTGAAACGCCAACCAGCAGGCTGCAGGTCAATTGCTGAAGCAGTTCACGGCGGCTCCGCTCCTGCTTGCGACAGGATCTCGGACGGAGACTGCAGTCTGCAGATTTCTGAGTTGGCTGAGATTTCATAAGGTATTGTTCTCAACTAAGTTCTAAACTAAAATCTGTTTTAGTTGTTGCTTTAAAGTGCTTGAGTGCAATTAATCTCCAAATAAAATCAAACAAATTCCTTACAAACTTACATTAGTTTAAATTAAATCTGTACTGTTGGCTGTTGAGATGATTTTATCCGGCACCGGCAAACCTACATTTGGATAAGTTGCTTTTTCTTTTAGGCATTTGCTTGTCCGTTCAGTTTTCATGTCATTTATCTGTAGTGGTATTCGCAAATTTTTAAAGCAAAAATTGTTAATGTTGTAATTTTTAAATAGTGATCTCTCTTATATTGGCAAAATTTTAAGGCAAATAAGTAGATTTGTGAACATGTCAGTAAATCTAATTTTGATTTTATAATAATATATGAATATTTGATTGCAAATAACTTTTTTTATCAGAAGAATGGAAAGTTTTTAAAAGGAATTAGATTAAGAAATTTCAGCTTTATAATAATATCTGAATATTTGTTTCCAAACAGTTTTTATGTGAAGATTTGAAAGTTTTTAAATCAATTTATTTTTTGTTAGATTATTACAGTGGTACTGTTTCAATTATTTAAAAGTGTCTATATTTGGAAGCAGGAGTATGAGGTTTGTCAGGATTCTTCATGCTCTATTTCTTTTTATTTTATTTATCATTTTGTACTCATGACAGAATAATTATAATATGATTATATATGTCATGAGTATTATACATGACTTTTGGGAAAATGAATTATAGAATATGTTTTTGTTGTTTATTACTGATGGATGATATTAAGTATCTCTAGTTGTTATTCATTAAAAGATAAAAGAAAAGTTCTTCCAAATTAAATTTTGGGACATCGCACTAATGCCCTTAAGAATTGAGATCAACAACTTGAATTATTGTTTGAAATCTTTTTATTCCAATTTTCCATTATGTTCATAATTTTGTGATATACTCGATGTTAGTTGGGATGGCAATGGCAGTTGGACAAGGGGTGAGACAGATTGTAAAACCCAGAATTTGACGATCGTAGCCATCACACACATTTTGATGCATCGCGACGAAACTTAAGTGAAAAAATTTAAAGTTAACAGATTTAGACGGAAATAATTTTATAAAATTCTACACAAAATTTTGATCGATTTGGTATATAAAATCTATAGTTAATTTTATGTATTTTGGGAGATAAAAATTTTAGAAGCTTAAAAAAGCCCAAACTACCCCTAATCATATTTAGAGCCGGAATTGTTTAAGTAAGGGTATTATAGTATTTTGACAATCCTTATTTCCCTAAATAAGCAAAAACCGAACCCCTTCCTCATTCATTCGCACGGTTTGGCCGAAACCGAGAGGAGAGGAGCGAACGGCTAGAGCGGACGGGCGGGCGACGGGGTCGCTCCGGAGACGTTTTTCCGGCAAGGAAATTTGTGAAAATTGAAGAGGAAGACGAGGGGAATACTAAGGTATGTTTTATTTGAAGCGAATCCCTCTCAATCTCAAGATATTTGGAAAGAAAATTATTAGGGTTTTTCCAAAAATGAGTTTTTCCTCCAAAGCTTCTTTACGAAATCAATAGGGAAGGATTAGGTAAGTGTTTTAATGGTAGAAATAAAGTTTTCTTTGAGAATTTTTTATAATAAAAAATTATAGCTTTTACATAAAATTTAAATTCCTTAAGATGCTTTTACAAAAGTGATTTCTATGAGTCCTAAGAATGTTTATAAAGAAAAATTTTGAGTTTTTGTGAGAATTTTCATTTTCATAATTTTTCTAATTAATTAAATCGGAAAATAATAAAGTTAATTATTAAAACATGTTTAGGGATAATTTTGACATATTAATTTGATGAAATGAGGATTTAGAGTATCTAAAAATTATGGATTTTAATAAATCCGAAAATTAAGATTAAATTATATAAATTTTCTTAAATGACATAAGGGATAAACGAAGGGTTTAGACAAATAAGAATTTAATTAAAGTTTTAGAAAAGAATTTTAGTTGACATTTATTTTTATGTGATTATTAGGTGGTGATTATTAAAGGGATCAAAACTTGTCAACGACACTAAGGAAGTACTGTGCTTGGGTTAAGGTAGGTACTCATATTATCATAAAAATTTCATGTATTATCTTGTCTTCCTTTTTATGCAATTTCAAATGTTTAAGGTTTTAACGTTCAAATGATTTATGAATTCTATTTTTCAAATGGCATGTTAGTATAATGTTTTTATATTGTAATAGATTTTTAGACATAAATGTTATTCGTGATTCTCATGTTTTGAGCTAATAATTTTTAAGTCACAATTGTTTATCATTACGCATATGATTGACTGAACATGGATTATAAATTATGATATGAGACTGTGCATGTTGATGCAGAGTGCCCAAATGGTAAAGATGCTTGAAAGAGCCAAATAGTAAAAGGACTCGTTAGAGCCAATGATAAAAGAATGACAAAATAATATGAAAATGTGTACTTGATTAGTACAAAATTTATGTGCACCTTCGAGATGGATGATATAATAGACATTACGCATAATATAGTTTCTATATATTTTTTCTATACAATATGGAAGTTGATGTTTAAGAAAAGGTTAAATGAAGGTTTATGATTGAGAAAAATTTATGAAAAAGTTTCTTATACAGAAATGTTATGAACTTATGCAAGATTGACCGTCGTTTAATGTTTTATTATGAAAATATATTTTATTTTAGTTTTATGCAATTTTTTATAAAAAACATGAATTACCTGCTGAACGAGTAAGCTCACCACTGTTTGTGGGAATCTTATTCAGGAGAATCATTTGGGAAGTGATGGCAATGAGACGACAGTACACTTACCATCATAGAGGGCATCAGGAAGAAAGGTTTTATAAGTTCTGTCATGTGTTTGAGTCAGTGGATTGTATTTGAGGAGTCTGTTGGAGCTTATGTTGATGTTTGTGTTTATGTTTTTAGTTGTTGTGATTTAGAAGATACAATTTGGAACACTTTCAGTTGGATTTTTTTTAGTGGCTCTTTTTTATTTATATATGGATGATGATGAAGTTTATGTTATGTTATATTAGTCAGTGAATTGTTATGATTTATATGTGTTTTCAATACGACTGACTGTTCCCGCCCTGTTATTTCAGGCTAGCCGGGCTGGGTCGTGACATAGATGTGGCTATGGTTTAGAATGGCTCCTTCAGGATTTCGAATCTAATACAAAAATTTTGGCTCCTTGTTGATGGATCTTCAAGCCCTTAATTTATTATTTCTACTTGGGTTTTGAATACTTGATTTCTCATAGATTCAACCTTTAGTTTAAAATATATTAATTTGGAGTGTAAAGAGAGAATAAAGGGGTTTCAAAACATCAATGAGAGAGAAAATCAATAGAAGTTTAAGCCGGAGAGAGGAGAGAGAAGAAAGAAAAGAGAGAATATAGAATTTAGGAGGAAAAGAAGAAATTTATTTTCATTTAATGATAATTACATGGCATTCATATCCTTATTTATAAAAATAATAGAGTTACATGAATAAAAGTAAACAAAACAAAAGTTAAAACCAGACAATCCTAAAGAAAGAGAATTCTTACGAATAAAAAAGAAATGATCCTTAAAAAGAATTATTCTAATTATTATTTTTCATTAAAATCAAATAAATTAAAAAAGTGGCATAAAATAGCTAAAGTCAAGCACAGTAATGATCCATCTCTTGTTTTGCATTAAATAGAAAGGCAGAACATTAGTGCATTATTGAAGCCATTGTTTTGAGCATAGGACGAATTCTAATAGATCAATCACGTCACCATAAGTAATATAAAGTTGAAAATAAAAAAATTTCGCACCTTCTATTGATTTATAGAAATCAAGCGATGCCAAGCAATAGGCTTCATTGTCAATTGAATGCCTCTGCCATATCTCAATCAAATGGAATCCATGCACTGTGAGGGCCTGCACAACAATTTGTGAAGGTACTTTATTGATTGCAGGAATTCTGAAGCCCTAACTCTATGTTCTGTATACACAGATCGTAGGAAATTCAAAGAAAATTAAGAAACAAAAACAAAGATGGCAGGAAAACCAAAAGAAAAATCATTGATTGACATCATTTTAAGGTTCTGCCAGTTTTGCATTGGAAGATTTAACATAAAGTTTCTGTTTTTTCATTTTTATTTTTATTTTTGTTCTTTTTCTTTCAAAAGAGAGGAAGGGAAGAGAGAAACAGAGTGATAAAGAAAGAGGGAGAAGAAAGAGTGAGTGGGAATAGAAAAAGAGAGAGTTAGAGAGAGGGAGGTTGAGAGAATTAGAGGTAGAAAGAGCGACTTAGAGAAAGATAGAGGAGAAGAGAGAGAAAGAGAGAAAGAGAGGAAGAGTTGGATAAAGGTGGGGAGAATTAGAGAAAGAGAGACGAGAGGAAGAGAAAGAGAAGAAGAGAGAGAGAGATGTAGAGGGAGAGAGAAGAGCTCTGATGAGTTCGCCGATGAAGTGGAAGCGATTGTAAATCCGCATGTCTCACAAGCATGTCTTCTCGAGGTCGACATTTGTAATGCCCTCACTAAAAATACCACTCCTTCAATTTTTTTTTAAATTAGATCCATCAAACTGGTTTTAGATGTCCTCTTATATATGCTAAAAATATTCAATTAATTTGATCATTCTTGAACTATGAAACTAATTAATCATTTATATCACTATCCAAGCAGCACGTTGGGGCATTATTTTTGAATGCATGATGTATGAATAAATTCATCTTAATATTTCATGAAATTTGGTATCATAATAATTTTTATGGTGAAGTTTAAGATGAATAGTATTGGTTTTCCATCTGAAGTTATATAATTGAAAATTAAGCCAAAATAAAATCATGTAATTCAACATAAAAGATCGTTTTTTTAGTGAGGAAGAGAGAAGATTCATTCTATTATTGGAAGTTAAAGTACTTGAACCTTCGTAATTAATTCCAAGTGAAGCCAGATCCGACTTACTAATGTGTTCTGAAGAGAGGTAGGCAATATGCACGTGATTTATTCGTGTGTTTTGAAACTAAAGTTTATAAAACGTGGCTGTGTTTTGCTTAAGTTATCTTAACATACTATAAAAGAAACTAATAAATAGTTCAATCTTTTTATTTTCCCTATAACTATGGATATATGACTAATTTTGGTCTGGCATATATTGCCTTTTACATTGAAATGAAGGGAAAAGAATGATGTTTTCACAAGTCATCATCTATAGAAAATAAAACCTAAAAAATCACATTAGTAAAATGTAAAATTCCAAGGCACGCCATGTATATGTTTTTCAAATATTGTTAGAAGCATCCTCTTAATGTTTCAATTTTTTAAGCAACAGATAAAGAAAATAACCATGTCCGGAACTTACGAAATGATAGTGCATACTAGGAAAACTACAAGGAATCAATAAAGGGAGCAAGAAAAGTGTGACTACCAGCAGGGTTTCAAAAGCTATATTGAGAGGCTCGAAGAATGACAGCAGAAACAAGCTAGATCCAAAATATGTATATGCTAGCATGCACAACCTTTGCCTGAAAACAAATAGCGCCTATTAAACTGATGCATGTGGTCCAAATTACAGAATGTATTCATGGATAAGAGAAAAAAATGAATAAAGAAGCATAACATTTAACAAGCATAAAAAATATCTGCAAATCTTTGTTTGCGCTGGATTCAAAAGTAGAACAAATTTAGGAAATCTTACAGGCATCTGATATATAAATTCTCTAAAGTTTGTGAGTTACACACTGTATCAGTAATTTAGAATTATGACAACGATTTTGGCTTTGCATTACAAATCCATCTACATATACAATTACTAAGTACAACATAAGAAGTTCACTCAATTTATGCAGTTTTTTTTAGAAACGCAATCCATATTCCTTAGGTCTATCCTTCTCTACTGTACCATAGGTGCATCTTTTCTATGATAGACCAATTCTAATATCACTAATCTATTTTAAAATTACTAATCTTCCATTGGCTTTGCTCCTGCTACCTTTATAACATAAACAATTTACTTTATCATTCTCAACTTTACCAAGCATTCATATTAACGTCCACATTTTTGCCAAAAATGGTTAAATTTAATGTAAATCTGGACCATAGATTCAGATTCATTGCATCCACTTGGCAAAAACGATTTCTAACGCCATGCCAACTGCTCGTTTAAGAAAGTGTTTTTACTCCCGCTACCCATTTTCACAAAAAACTAATAAACTCCCTCATTTCTAATTCTCCTTATTTTTTAAAATTAAAAACTGAAAAGCCCATGGGTATAGAAATTTACAGCAACATTTAAAAAGATTGACCCTGAAACAAAGATGTAATTAGCACATAGCAAGGATGTCGATAAAAATTGGCACAAGCAATTAATGAATCATATATTTCAGCAAAGAAATTGCGCATGAAACATTTAGAGGCAATCCTCTCCCCATTCGAGTTCCTTAATTATTTGTTTTCAATGATGTTTAAATCATTGACTTTTAACATGATACAATGGAGAAAAATAATTCATGTAACCAACCCTACTTAGTGAGACAAAGGTTTGATGTTGTTTTTGTTGTTATTGATGTTGCTGATATTTAAATCATATTAAAATGAATGTGACGTTTCATGCTAAGGTTTCAAGAAAATTATTTTTTTTCTAATAGTTCAAACAAGCCAAAATGTCCACCTGATTAGAAGATATGATTTTTGTATTTCTTATTGTGTTATTGTGATAAATGTCGTACAAAGTTGGCTATCTATGCAATTTGTTTTGTTACCATAGGAAAATGCTAGATTGGAAATGGCTATCATTGGAAATTTCTAGATTATGAAGATACATTTTTATTATTGCTATGTGCTCTTAATTTAGAAATATTCACTTTATTATCTTCCGTTTGCATTCTTCTTGTATTCCAATATATAAACACTAGTAATCAATCAATATATGAATATTATCCTCCAAAATAGAATTAAAGTCACGTTAGCCTAGTGGGGGCTCCGAAATTCGCGTCCTGGCCTCCCCTGCTTTCGGAGAAGTTTTAACCGATTAAGTTCTGGGGTAAATTTTCAGAAGACATATTGGGTTTGAAGATAAGACACTACCCAGAAATTTCAGCCTCTAGTTTCCTATAAGCACAAGCCCCTATAGTTAATTACCCCTCCCGATAATGAGAGAAAACTTTCGGTTAAAGCAAGTCGCCGATCAGATACGTAGATATACATGTATATGACATATACTAGCAGCATGGGTTTAGGTGTTTGAAGCTTTGATATTTAAAATAGAAATTTCACCATCTTACAGTTAAAGTGGATGGTGGGGAATGGATGATGGATCTGATCAAGATCCCATGGTTTCATCGTTTTCGGGTCATCTTGGTCCCTAGTCTACTTAGTCAAAGGACGTAGTCGACCCAACCTGATAGAAGGATCTTTGTCGGCAGCCATGGGTTGCTCCATCCAAGGGTACCTTGTAGATCTGGGATCAATATTTGTTTAAGGGGACAAATTTGAATCAACCTTAGCTAATAAAGGGCTTTGTACCCTATCAATTATATTCTATTGATTCATATCTCAAGGGCTTGATGTCGTTGGGGAGCATACGGGCTCTGGTTATGACCGTAATTTAGTTGTGTCATTTTGTGGCAAACAGCCTAGTTCAGAGGGCCCCGGTCATAACTGTTTACCTGCAGTGTCATTTGGCGAAAAAACCACCAATTAGAGGACACGCGTCACCTCGATACTGGCAGGAAACTATTTGAGAATGAATCATAGTGATATTCTCGACCAAACATTAGCTCTTTGTGAGCTGAAGTGATTCTCATATTTGTTCATCTCGGCAAACTGTTGCCGATGGTGGATGAGTTTTACTTTAATTGATAATTATATAATGATTAATCTTATGTTATCTTTTGTAGGATGAGTATACACAGCTTTGAAAGAGTTAGGCTGCAGCTGGTGAGATTCTCAAGGGGATCAAGAGATTATTTCGATTATCGCATTTGGTCGCAGGTGATCTGCAAAATGCAGATGGAAAAAGTTTATGGGTTAGGCTCACTGGCTTATGCATATGAGGGGCAGTCATCTAGTGCCTCCGGCTTATCTACAAGCAGTTATGAGAGTTTGTATAGCTAATAGGTGGGTGCCCTTACAACAGAGCTAGAGCATGTCTAAAAATCACAAGCGGACATGCACATGCATATACTGGAGGAGCTTCAAAGAATGAGGGAACAATTTAGTGAAAAACAACCTGCATCGGCCGAAGAGGAGATTGAGGGTTCAGATTTTGACTAGTTATTTGTGCCTATGAACGTTTTGTTGGTTTTTCAATATATAAGAATTGTACTTTTAATTTAAAGGTGTTTGATAATTGTAGAACAATTGTGTTATTGAACAATTTGTGCAAAATGCTTAATTAATTTTTGATCTACTATTTTTACAATGTTGAATTATTATATTATTTTTTACTATTTGTAGCATAGTTGAGTAATCGACATGACTGCTATGTTGAAATGTTAAAATTTGATATGAGGTGCATGCGAAAAAGCCGACTTTCTTGTAGTGCATTTTGTTTTATTTATATTATAACTTTCAAAGCACCTCTTTGATGACACAATGCATTAAATTGGCATGCCATGCATTAGAATGATGGCTGGATGGCAATGATAGACCGATCTCTTATACTCATATTTTCACATGATTCTAATAACTTATTTTATCCATGCCTTCCCTTTTAAACATCCAAAACCCCATGGACAACATAGGCCCCTCACAAATCACAGTCCGTTGACTGTTCTAAGATCACAACACACCCTTCAGTCTTCACATAAAGAGGTTTTGCCTTTCAGCTTCTACAGTTTGGCTTCCAAAATATTCTTTACATGTTTACATTTGCTGACTATTGGTATCTACCAGACAGAAAGCTAATTATTTATCATCCTAGCTTTTTTGGGCACCGAAGGCATGGTTTCAACTAAGAACAGATGTAAACGAGCAATTTTCCAATACAGAAAAAAAAAAAGAGATGTAATGGACCATCATGTTGGCAGAGAAGCATCTATGCATCATTAGATTTGTGAATAGTTTACATCAGTGGGCTGCGAAACTTCTTAATACAAAATTAAGTGGAAGTAACAGATGTTGACTAAATTATAATTGAGAAAAGGTTCTTCTAATCACAATTATTCATGCACTTGCAATTAAATTAAGGCTACATTACCAAAACAGGTCCGCCACTAGCACCAGCAGTAAAGCAGAAAATATGCGCAAGTATTTGCTTGGTTTTACACTAGGGGATGTGAATAACCGTTCAAGCCGGTCATTGGCAAGTGACTGAAATATCTGTTGATAAAAAATAGAATATATATATATATATAGAGAGAGATAGAGAGAGAGAGAGAGAGAGAGAGAGAGAGAGAGAGAGAGAGAGAGAGAATGTTTAGATTTTTTTGAAGCTACAGAAAATGCAATGCATAAGCTAGGTAAATTTTACCTTGAAGGAACAAAGAACAACCAGCCAAATAGTCCAGAGTACCATTTGTGAAATAATAGGTGGCACAACCAACGGAAGTAAAGTTCCCTGATGAAAAACACCATATACATAATAATATGAAAGGTGCTCACTAAACCAGAATTAAAAATTGTCAAAACATATTCGATAAAACTAAGTTAAGGTAAAACCCAATTTTGCAATTCAAACGATAGAGCACTTGGTGCCATTCAATTCACTAAAAAGTTCTCACGAGGACCTTCTTCCCTGTTGTTTGACATCACATTATAAATAAGCCAAGAGAATAAGGAACTAACGATGGGTATTAACTAAAAGAAGAAGCCGCCTAGGGTCAATGTATAGCCTAAACGTATACAATCAGAATTAGCAACAACTGTGCAGAAATCATACTGTGCGAATGAATATGGGTCAATCACCAAAATGCATACAATCAGAGTTAACAACAAAGACAGATTGAATACTACCATGCACCCTTTTGTCTTCACACCCGTTCGCCCAATACATTGAATGACTGTTCATTACATGAAAGTGAAAGGGAGCGCCCGTGACCTAATCAGCTTAAGGATATGGTCATAAAACAAATTAAAGGCTTGAAAGATTCAGCGCCAGACCAAAGAAAAGAAACTCACCGGCTCAAAACAAGTTCGAGGAACCATTGGGACCCCTTTGTTACTTCAAAGCCCAAGGATCAAACTTGCAAAAGTATCTTAGGTCAACAAGTTTAAAAGTAGCTGATCATCTTAGCTCAACAAGCTCCAAAATCAAGCTAGCATGCATACAATGGCTCAAGAAACCCAGGGTCGAACTGATAAGAAAATTACAGCTTTGAAAGCCTAAATTGAGTAGATCACTATATACAATAAACCTCAACAAAAAGTTTGCAAACATATTTCCTGAGCTCAACAAGTTTCAGAACTAAGATTGAATATAAAGTTTATTCAAAAAGCCCAAGCAATTAAACAAGTAAAAGCCCTCAGATCAAAGCTTAAAGACCGAGCTGATCATGTTAAGTCAACAAGCTTTACCAAGTAAGAATCTCAACTAATCCAAAAGCCCAGCCAGAATTTTGGCAGTTCAACAAACTAGAGACCGAGCTAGCAAAATTACCTCAGCTCAACAAGCTTAAGGGCCAAGTTAATCATGCTAACTCAATAAGCTCTAGCAGTTAAGTTGACAAATGTACAATATCCAAACAAGTCCAAGGATCAAACCTAGAGTCCAAAACTCCATTAGTTCAACCTTAAGGGCTGAACTAAGAAAGCCACTCTTGCCCAACAAGTCCAAGGATTAAATTAATTGTAACCAAACCTTAATAATCAAGCTAATATATATGCATAATAATTCAATAAGTCGAAGGATTGAATTAGACTACTCACCAAGAGAATTTCCATTGCTCAAGAGATGAGTGAAAGTACAAATATTTCTTCATTTTCTTGTCTCTTAATTTTTTCCTCTTCACTCTCATTCCCTCTCCCACTCTCAAATCAAAACTCAACAATATATATATATAAGCAATCCCCTTCACTCAATAAATGCCGCTAACCACAAATTGTAACGTAATGGTGGCTTAATAATATAAACTGTTTGAATAGATTTTAATAGAATTTAATTACCAACAAAATTTGAACAAACTTTTATCTAATTTTATCCAGAAAATTTAGAGATTTGTCTAAGGATTAGAAAATAATTATTCAAATTCACACATTCCATGGAATTTAAACTCCAAATCGTGATAGACTCACTTGGAGATTTAATTTTGGGGGTCTTACATACATAATCATTATCTTATTTCTGATTTTAATAATTTGATATTTTTAAAATATTTTCAATTAAATTTATATTTTCATTACTGAAAAATGAGGTTCAGGTTAGGGAAGAGGTTCAAAAGCATGATACTGATCAGGATTCCTCATATTCTAATTCATTTTGTTTTAGTTATTCTTGTGTACACAGGAATAAAATGATATGTTGTATATAATTTATTTTTGAGTCAATGAATATAGATGTGTAATAATATTTTGAATTATAGAATTTTTTCACTGTTTATAACTGATAGATGCAATTAGATAACTCTAGTTGTTGCATAATAAAAGATTAAAAAAAAAAAGAATCTTCAAAATTAAATTTAGGGGTGCGATAGTCAATGTATTAAAAGTAGTTGTGTAGCAAGTCTTGCGAGAAATAGGCACAAGTTTTAGGGTAGACTACATAATAGATTTTATGTGAGCAAGTTGTGGCATAAGGCTTAAGGGAGTGTCAATGGTATCTATGTTGAGATAGTCAACAATTGTACAAGGCTTTCGGGGACAGTTGTGTCGTAGTTTTACAAGAGAAGTGTGGCATCAGTCTTAAAGGTGATGGTTGCATTGTCAATCTTGAGGGAGATGGTTGCGACAATATCTTAAGGAAGATGAATAATGTTGCATGTGATGACTGCTTTGTAGGTCTTAAGGCATATAGTTGCGACACAAGTCATGAGAAAGATAGTTATGGCATAAAACTTGAGGGAGATGAGTGTGACGTAGGCTTCCAGGGAGTCAACTATTATGAAGGTCATGATATGTCACGAGCTGGCCCAAATGTTCGAATTAATGAGGCGGGTATAGACAGTCGGATGGTTGATTAAATTTCTATTGTTAAAACTATCACAAATAAACTGAAAGAGCCACTAAATCCTCTAAAAAATATAAATACCTTTCTCTTGGAGCGTTGCGCTTATGATACATATTTTCACCTCTTCTACTCGTTTTAAACATTTGAATAATACATGTATTCATTAACAAATATAAGAGTGTGTCATAAAAGAACTTAGTGAATACCTCAAGCTTCTAAATTATAGTAATATAAGGCATCAAAAATAATATGTATGCTCAATTTAAACATAAAATAATTCTATTAAAAATTCAGTTTGAACATGACTATTAATGTTGTGTATCTGTATATGTCACATATATCATATATTTATCCTTTTTATAAATAGTACAGCCTTTACAGGAATCACTGTCTAAAATAGAACCAATGAAGGTACTCATTTATATTTCATTTTTATTTTTTATAACTTTTTCATTTACGTGCACGGGTATATTAAATCCCTAGTCAGTATCATAAAAGGATGTGCTCCATCATTCAACATGCATATGCAAGCATATATATCTAACAATTTCATTCATATAACATTCATTTACTTTCTATGATAATGTGAAACATAACATATTAATTTTACAAAATTCAAAATGATCAATCATTAGGTATGAGAAAGAATAAATATGATATAGCTAATAATAAAGACTTAATAAGCATATATTATCTTTCAAAGCATTTAATCGACGAGAAAACAAAGTAATTATTGTAATAAAAAAATATGAGTACTCACCTTGATTCTCGATTCTAGGCACTGTCACGACCCGACCCGATCCGAGACGGATCCCGCTCGCACCGGGTCGCGGCACGGAAACGAACAAACTGACTGACCAGGATCTGGCTTTGGAATTTGTTTACTGAACTAAATCTTCTAAATTATTTCAACTCAAAAACCAACACACAGAACAGACCAGAGCTACTATGAATCATCAAATGCAGCGGAACAAATCATCTATATTTTTCTTTCTTTTCCTCAAAACAATCATCTACAAATATGGTACATGGCTAACAGAAGAAATACAGAAGAAAAGCCATGACCGTACAAAAATCAAAAGTACAAAAGTACCTATCACAGATCGGACTCTGAACTCTAGTCCTGAACTTCCTTCCCTTTCCCAGAACCTGAAAACCACCAGAAAACGAGAGTGAGCTCAACAGCTCAGCAAAGCAACAAACCTCCAATCAAAACTTCCAGAATCCAAAACCAAACACATCAGACAAATCC